CAAAAGCTAAGTACGGTGTCCGGTATTTGATATCTAGCATATGATAAGCTACAGCATATTAGCAAACTAAAGGAACGGGTGATGTAATAATAGATCAGTATTGGGTAATGTTAGAATAACCGTTCCAATATTAACATGGATTCCCATGTTAAATCTAATATGGTGGGGAGCGGGAGGAATAATCGAACAATCTTATGAACCACATTCTTTATAAATGAATTGTTGTTAAAAACATGATTCATGAATTACAAATACAATTGTTGATTAAAATATGTGTTTATAATCTATGGTTCAAAGATGAATGTTGTTTTCAATAACAGAATACTTGATTTTGTTATTTGCAATGCAATATTTATTTAATATACAGTATATTTTATATGCACATGCATTTTACAGTCCATTAATTACCACCTTATATATGCATTTAAATTTTTTTGAAAGGAAAATTATAGCCATATTTTGATATTTTATCTATAATAGGAATTTTTAATTCAGGATAAAAATGGTAGTTTATATGGTCATTATAATGCTATATTTATAATTATATTTATGATAATTTTTACTAAATCTTTGAAATATAACATTTGTTTCAACAAATTTTATATTCATATTATTCAAAACCATAATAATGGTTAATACACTTTGTTTACCAAAATTGTTTATAATGTAAATATTATTATTAATTTTTATTTTGATTTAGCGTAATATGTAGACAACTTTTATTAAGGGTTTTATACAATATTGTGATAACAGAATTATAAAATCTGGAATGCCAATATATTCATGTGATATAATATCTAAATAACAATTTTTATCACGATTTTTGTTAGAATTTTATTTGTTAATTAAAGGTTAAATTGAGGTGTAATAAAAGTCAATGCATTTAACGTATATTTTATTTATAAAATAATAATAATTAATATTGTTTATTGAATGCAATGAATTTTAACTAATTTTTGCAAAATGTGTGAATCAATAGAAATATTTAGAAAATGTGATGAAATTCCTATTGATATTAAAATAAATATCGCAAAATTGCATATTTTTAAAATTTCAAATCAGTTTAATATATTGTTTGTGACAAACAATGATTTGGTCTATGGTTTTGGTGAAAATAGTAAGGGATGTCTGGGCTGTGAACACATCAAACCAATTCAATCACCGGAAATAATACAACAATTATGTCATCAAAACATACAATACTTTGTCAATGGATTGGATTTTGTGTTAGCAGTAAATGATAAGCGTTATGTATATGGTTGGGGTGTAAATACCCATGGACAATTGGCACAAAATAGTGTAACAAGACAAAATTATTTAAACCCTAGTATAATCGGCGATTTGAATGATAAAAATATTGTACAAATCAGTTGTGGTTATCGACACACACTGGCGCTCACCGGCGATGGCCGGGTGTATGCCTGGGGTGACAATGATTGCGGTCAAATTGGTTGCGGTAATAAAAGTGAAGATATATACGAAGAAGTTCGCTCCGCAAACAACTTTATCACTAAACCAATTGAAGTGCAATTTAAAAATAATGATAAAATACAATCCATTTATTGCTGTTATAATTCTTCATTTGCCATCACATGTGATGGACATGTGTTCAGTTGGGGTGAGAATCGTGGCCTAGAATTGGGACAAATAACCGATGATAAATTATTTATACCTCAATTGATAACATCGATTAATATAAATCATGTAAGAAATATAAGTTTTAATACTGATGGAATATTTTTTCACACCATAAGTGATTTATATTTTTGTGGCAAATATTATATTAATAATTCATATAGATCAATCAAAACACCAATGCAAATAAATTCAAAATATCCATTTCAAGAACTAGAACACATTAATTCATCCATTAATTATACTAAAGACTATACTTGTGTTTTAATGAATGATAAATTATATAAAATATCAAATGAACTCAAAATCCTAGACATAGAATATAATAATTTTACTGAGTTTTACGCCACTGAATACCACATAACATATAATACGATTCATTTGAAACAAATGAATGAAAATACAATATTAGCATCAAATCAAAATGAGGCTAGTTGTGAACTCAGAAGTGAAATTGTTATTGATAGCAATTGTAAAACTGACAAAGAGCAATTAATACAACAGATGACCAGCCATAACATAAACAATAATGCAGAGCATACAAATAAAGGTAACTATAAAAGTCAATTCATTGAGTTGTCAAAATTAGATTCGGGCGCTTTTGGGACTGTATTTAAAGTAAAGCATAGATTGGATGATAAAATATATGCCGTTAAAAGAGTAAGATGTAAGTATAATAATAGAAATTTGTTTTATTCATTACTTAAAGTTATATATTTAAACAGATATTAGTGACAAAGAAAAGCAAAGTGTCATTAATGAAGTGATAATCTTATCAAAATTTGATACCGATTTTGTGGTTAAATATCACTACTCGTGGTCTGAAGGGAAACATGTGTTCATTCTTATGGAGTATTGTTCGCAAACACTCGGGTCTGTAATTAGCGATAAACCCATTGTATTTGGCAGACAATCGTCAAAACAATGGATATTTACGAGTATTTCATATCGTGTGAAATATTTTGCGAAATTCTAGAATGCATTAACTATTTGCACAAATCAAATCCCCCTGTTATTCACCGGGATTTAAAACCCTCTAACATTTTAATTGGCAAAACACCTAAAAATAATCGGTTCATGAAACTCGGCGACTTTGGTTTGGCCACCGATCACAACATGCCATCCATGAGCCACACTTGTAATGTCGGCACTTCAAAGTTTATGGCACCCGAAGTATACAACACAAGCCGTTACACCACTAAAGTAGACATTTATAGTTTGGCAATCATTGCACAACATTTGTTTGATTTATTTGATAATAAGTATGACATTAATTACACATTAAATTAAAATTGTTTGAAAAGTAATAAATTTAATGTTTTTTCTATTTTTAGTGATAATCTGTTGAGAGAATATAATTTAACCGATTTCTCGTCAGAATTTAAAAAATTATATGAAATAATTGGCCAAATGTCTAATGCAATGGCTGACAGTCGGCCGACCAGTGCTGAAGTGCTCGGCGAGTATAACCACTGGTCAATTGACAAACATCAAATTACCGCAAATGATACAGAATTTAATGTATTTAAAAATGTACTTAAAACTAATGACAATACATTTTTCTATGACTTTCTGACGTGTAAATCACAAATCGGCAAAATTAAATTTTTGGGAGAAATAAGTTCGGGTGCTTTTGGAACTGTATTTAAAGCAAAGTATGGATCGAATAATAAGATCTTTGCCGTTAAAAGAGTACAATTTGGAGGTAAATAATATTATAATACATTTGTTTGTATTAATTATTAAATTATTTTCATAGATTTTAATGAAGAAAAGAAACAAAAAGTTTTAAATAAAGTAAAAAATTTATCAAAATTGGACAATGAATTTGTGGTCAAATATTATAAATCATGGCATGAATCCAATCATCTCTTCATTCAAATGGAGTTCTGTCCGCAAAGTCTTCGATCACTTCTCAAAGACAAACCCATTGTCTTCGAGAGACAACCGGAAGAAGAGATGAATGTCTTTGAATACTTTATTTCATGTGAAATATTCAAAGAAATGCTTGAATGCGTCCAATATTTACATGAATTGAAACCTCCAGTTATTCATCGGGATCTCAAACCCGACAACATATTAATTGATCCCAACTATAGGTCCGATCGGTTCATAAAACTATGTGACTTTGGTTTAGCCACGTTTCACGACCCGCAACGACACACTGCCACCCAATACCGGAACTCAGTTGTGGGCACCACTGGATTTATGGCACCCGAAGTTCATTCGGGTAAACCGTATAATTACAAATCAGACATTTATAGTCTGGCACAAATCGGCGAACAATTATTTAATATCGATTATGAAGCGTAAGTTATGGTCAAATATATAGTAGTTATAAATTAAATATTGTATTGATTTATAGATCTCAATCATGTCATACAAATAAATTGGTTGTCAATACATGCTTAAAATGTATGTCTGAGACACTCGTGGCAATGATGTCAACTCCTATTTGGAGGAATAGGCCTGAGTGTCGGGAAGTGTTGGCCAAACATAACGAGTGGTCAATTGATATGAGTGTTGTCACGACTCATAAGGAATTCAATTTAGTATTAAAAAGACTTAAATCAAACGATAATTCAGTTTTCTATGAGATTTTGTTGCGTAAAACAAAAAAAATATTTTAATGAATAATTCAATCAATGATACACTTTGTCCCACAATATGAAAAGTGAAGAATTGTTAGAGTGTTTAAAAATAACAAAATTTTATTAAATAAAGTTTTATGATAAAGTATCAGGGCACGCTTTGTTGTACACGGTTAGGGTAAATAGTGTGTAATTATGGATTACATAATAAGACTTTTGTAAATATTATTAATAAGTTATAAATTTTTCAACTTATTCTCTGTCATGATGTTAATAATGGATATATTTAATATATTTTTGCTGAGAGAGAGAGAGAGAGAGAGAGAGAGAGAGAGAGAGAGNAGAGAGAGAGAGAGAGAGAGAGAGAGAGAGAGAGAGATAGAGAGAGAGAATTAGTTATAAAGTATTTAGTATTTAAATACTATAAATTATAGTCTATAATAATGTGTATTTCTATTATAAAAACGCAGAAAATAAGTTTAATTCATTTAAGGTTGATCTGATTCGTCTGTTTCGTGATGTTTATATTTTAAAATACGTTTGAAAATCCATTTAAACGATAAGTAAATATCGATTGCAATATCACTGAATGAGATCATAGACACCCCGACCCACACGCCTATTGTGCCGCCGATGTTGTATATTATATCGTGGATATCCATTGCCAACTGTTCGGTGATGTGGGGCTCCATATAGTGTTTGGGCACTAAACTGACCATGGTGAAGGGCAAATTTGATTGCATAGTAACCGCTGTGGCCTCTAATGGCCTGCTTATGCACGTCGGGGGCGGAACGGAGGCCCAGCAGCGGGCGATTAAGCGCTTCACTACCGTATCCTTAACCGCACTGTTATTGCGATCGGTGCAGAACCGGCGCCGACCGCTCTCCAGCTCCCCATCGATAGTAACGTAATATGTGTTTAAAAGCGGATAACAATTATTGATTGAATACAGACTACTCTCGATGCATGACTGAGCGTATATCGATTGTAGGATATTATCGGACGAGCATTTGGACGCCCGCCGCGACAGTCGCCGGTGCTCTCGCGTTGTGTACGCTATGCGAGTGTGTGAGCCAACCGGCACCGGTAAAGTAACTTTGGTTTTTTCCATACTAATGAGGCCCGCGTTTATATTAAACACGTGATCGTTACGGTATTTCATGGCCACTCGCGTCGGCAATACTGGACCGTCGGTTGCGTTAAATACTTGGTTAACACTTCGCCAGAACTCCCGGTCCGGACGCGTGAAAAATGTTTGTTTAATTACAATAGCGTTGCCCTCCATAGCGAAGTACATGTCGGGCGCCGGGCAGTCGACCCGCTGTTGGCCGGACTCGTACTCCACGTAACACTCAATGAGTGACCGGTTGTAGTCGTATACGTGACGGCGAAACTCGTCCAACCGATTGGTCGCCAAAATATCGACAAATTTCATGTCAAATTGCGTACTGTTTTGTCCGCTTTGTTTGACATAAGTTACAAATCTATTAGGAATTATGCGAATGGTCAGCGCCGGCACCCGTATGTATGGGCTCAGAGTTATACTGATCTTGACGTTAGTCTCGAAGTAAGTGATGATTAGGTCTTTGATTTGCAATGACATTAAACCGATGCAAACAACGAGTGGAACCAGATTTGCATATTTGAGATATCGTCTGATTTTATAATTGGTTTTGAATCTCGTTTTCAGTACTGCTCGGCGCCAGAAATACACACAATTGGCCAACACGTGACCGATAGCCGAGTGAACACTGAGTCCGGTATACATTCCCATTAGACCCCCGATTGAGGACAAGTATGCGATTGAATCCATTTTGGGATTCAGTTTCCAATTCATACTTAACTTTATATTATAGTAAGAATTGATGGATAAATGAATTTTCTTTATCTTAATAGCAGTGCCGCCGATGTCTGTGATATAAGTCCTGCAATCTATGGGACACTCGCGATGTAGCCGTCGATAGTCGGGTCGAACGAAACAATCGGTTCCGTTACTACCCCTCAAAGTGTGACGACTAGTAGTGTTGACCAAATGGTGACTCCAGTAGTGATTGTGTCCACACTTTTGTCGCTCCAGTCGTGCCATCACTTCAACCATACATTTAGTGCGCGATTCGGGCGCCAGTGGTCTGTCATCTCGTCTATCATTAGACCCGTAATCATAACACGCCGTACGATAGGGACGGGGGAGTAGTGTCTGTAGTTTAACATCAATTTTAACCAGGTAATAATTTCTGTATTTGTTGATTGTTATCATTTTATTAAAATTAGACAATTCATCATGGGCAGTTATTGCGAATTGAGCATGCTCCATATTATTTAGTCTAACGTAAAAGTCTTCAAACTCATCATTCTTTGTTTCATTGATCCGACCGTACAATTGACTTATGCATACACTTGTGTTGGGTCGGTATCGCAGGTAATGTGGGAACAGTCGGTCACATGGATTGCTGACACCATTTGTGGTAAATAGAAAGCATTCAATGTATTCCCGATTTAACAATTCATGTAAAGTTTTGTTATATTTATCAAAGTATTTGTTGTCTAAACATATAGTAATCGATGGCTTGAAAAGCAATGACCGGTCGTTTTGATCGATCACTAAATCGTTGATCACTTCATACCGTAAATAATTGACGGTTTCGTCACATAATTGATACACAAATAGCAATAGAAATGTATATTTTATTAATGGTTTGGAAATAAATTTCT